GAACTACAAAAGCAACGCACACATCGCCTCGACGAGTCATCGATGCTGTGGGCGGTCTCAAAGACCGAGACCGTGCAAGGGGAGGGAGGAGGGAGGGGCCGCTCCTGCCTTGAACTCGATGCACTGGGCCTCGGAGGAGCACAACTAATGGCCTCCCGCGTAGAACGGAGGAGACGCCTGCGGACGAGTGCGGCATCGCTCTCGACCTGTGGAATTCTGGCTCGGACCACGGTGCTGACACGAGCTTCTGTGGCTGCCACACGGGCAAATTCGTCTGCTGCTTGATTTCCCACGAACATCCACTCGGGCCGAGAAGACACAACCACCAGGGAGGCCTCGAGGTGAGAGGGCACTTGCATGACAGTGGCCAGTGAAATATCACGACCCTCGAGAGCCTTGCAGATGAGCTTCCAGACTGCTTGGTTCGACCGCGAAGGGGTTGCAAATAACTTATTGAACCGCCCATCGATAACCCCGCTGTTGTCGGTGATGTACACCAGGGCCCCGTAGGAGAACTTGATGGCCAACAGGAGACCCCACAACTCCCCACACGGAACAGTTTGCACCAGACCTGGCAACGGACCAAAAACAGCGGCACGAACCTCGGGCTGACTGAAACTCGCAAGGGTGCAAGCGGCGACGCCGACGCGCCGAAGCCGAGAGTCGCGACTATCTTCGCCACCGCTCGCGCCCCCAAAGACGACAATGGGGTCCTCGGCGGACGCCTGCCCCAGGCCCCCGCTACCATGAAAATCGCCGCTACCATGGTAAACTCTCCCAGACTCACCTGAAGAACGAGGCGGAACTTTGGTCCAAGGAGCAGGAATAACCCCACGGAAAAAAGAAGCAAGGCTCAGAGTCCTGCCCAGAAATCGCTCTCGGGACCAGATGGTCCGACTCCCTATATACTGGGCTGCCTGTGTTACATGGGCATGTCCATCCGCGATGCAGCGGAGTCTCTGGCTCCTCGCCGCAACGCTGGCAGATCTCGCTAACGTCAGCCTTGGTTTCGTCCTTGACCCTGGACGTCGGCCAAGTCCCGCCGACGGCGGTCCACAAGAGTGTCTCGGCGAGCCTGGCCCCAAGCTTGGGCACGTCGCTGAGAGCCTTCAAAACACGCCTGTACGACATGTTGTGGGCACCGCGCTGCAAACCCTCGCCGCAGAAATGCCGACTGGCTGTGGCCCACTGCCGAGCACGAACCGAATCCTCAAACTCCTGGATAAGCCCGCTGATATCCCCAGAACTCGATACAACCTCATCAGGAAACGTCCAGACTGCACCTGGTCCTTCATCATCGGGGGGCGTATGCCATTCGCTCGGGGAGATCGGGTCCCAACCATACTCGAGGAGGTAGGCCACTACTGCTGAAATGGGGCCACGCACTGCTTGGGCTACCTGCCGATGGGCAAGCTGCCGAAATTGTGAAACAACACGAGGCCACGCTGCCCGCACCGCTGGGCGAATAGACGGCTCCTGCATCCATGTGCGAAGCCATAGCTGTAAACACTCCCTTGGAAGCTTGTACCCTGGATCGTGGCCGTCGGCCCTAAGGTCCAAAACCGTGGTAAGGCACCTCCCGCGGGAACCAGACGAGAAGGCATGCCCAAGACGACGCCGACACTGCAAACGAAACTCGCCGAAAGCTCCGTGCACCTGGTGCCCGTGCGCACACGCCGCCTGAGCACCAGCACGCTCGAGCATACCAGTCCGAGCATATTTGCGAGAAGCTCGAGCGAAGCGACGAATACGAACGTTCATGGCCTTTGCCTTCTGACTGCGCTTGGTTCTGGTGGCTCTGGCAATGCGACCTGCGCCGAGATCCACCCCTGAGAGACATGCTTGCTGGCCGTGCTGCAACTTAAATCCCCGACGGCGAAGGCGAGCGACTATAGCCTTGCTGTCGGCGACATTGGAGCACAGGATGATGCTCTTCTCTGAAACTGGCAAGCCCTGGCCTTCCAACTCCGGGCACGTTGAAAGGATCCCACGATGCAGGTTGGCGCAGGCCGCCTTCCTAGAGCCTGGGCAACGCTGGGTGAGATCGTCGATCCATATGCGAAAAGACATATCAGGCGTCGCCCTCGTTATCTTCTGCAAAATAAAATAGACAAGACATCGCCCAAAACGAGTGCCACTCCGAAGCCCCTGGATGATACTCTGCGAAGCCTGGTTTGCCTCTGAATAAGAACCCAACTGAGCCACTGCGCGGGGCGCCAAACACATCTGGAGCCCCAAGAACAGCACCGCAGGGGGGAACCCCAGACGCAACGCGGAGGACGCCAGAGGGCCCCACTGCATCTCATCAGAAAAGCCATGGATGTCGATGGGGCCCTCGCCGAAGGCCGTGCCAAGACGAAACGTCGATTCATCCAGAAGAGCACGTAAAAATGCTTCTCGAAGTGCGGAGTTCCCTGCGACGGCGGCGCCCCAGGCTGGCTCGTTGCCCTGCGACCACGAGCGCACATTGTCCTCACGGGCGAGGGGCCAGGTCCTAGAGAACATGGACATGAGCCCAATCACCCTGTCACCCCCCGTTTTCTTCCCTAACAGCCTCCCCACCACTAAAAGCGTTTGCCACGGCCAAGACAAGCATTCCTCACAGGTATTAAAATGAGCCGTGAGTTCGGCGAGCCCCGCCGGCGGCAATCGCTCCATGTCGAGGGAGGACATTTGGTCCACCCCGAGTCCTGCTTTTGGTTTCATAGTATGCAGGGCTCGCCGAACTCGCTCAGGCTCAAGTGGCCCGAGTTGCTCAACTCGCGCCGCTTCTCGAACACTGGCAAAAATATCTCGCACACGATCGAGGTCGAGAGGTCGTGGCCGCCACAAGGCATGCAACTTATTGGCCTTCTCGTCCACAATATGTAAAGGATGGAATAACACCTGATTGTTGACCACTAGCTCGTCGGGAACTGGGGGCACCTTCTTGAGCGCCTTGTGTAGAATCCCTGGGGCCTCCGAGATAGCAATCCACTCGCGAAGTTCCCGTGGAGAGCATCCCAAGGCACGCCTCCTAGCCCTGCCAGTAACCCTCTTAGCCGTAGTAGCCATAAGGTTAAGCTCCTCCACAGACACACTACTGATCCCAAGAAGTCTGGCCTGCCACTGGCTCCAAGACGAGACATCCCCGTTCAGGAGGCTGGCCAAAGGAACGCGCGCAGCTTCAGGCTGACCGCTGGCGAGAGCGGCGCATGCGATAACTAACTGCTGCTGCTGAATGGGTCCGCTGTCTCGGACTCGGCGCAGGCGCAGCCGACCTAGAACTGTGGCGAGGCGCCCCCACCACGAGGCAACTTGATCATGAAGAGGCTGCTCTCTCACTCTAGCGGATGCCTTGACTTCAGAGACAGTAAACGAAGGCCCCTGACTCCGAGAAACAGCCCCTGGACAGGAAACTTGATGATGCTGAACAATGGCCTGCTCCGAAGTCTGAACCCACGACGCGCGCGTAGCCCCAAGACGTCGTATGTGCGGACCACCCACTGCATGTGCGGCCGAGTTCGCTATGACGGGCCACACGTCCGACTGCTGAGACGACTGAGAGTGCCCGGCCTCGGCCCGGCACGAGTCCCACAGGTCAGGAGGAACCTGGAAGGAAGGAGGGGGGGAGACCGAATCGCTCGCTGCCGAGGGGTCGGGGTTCGAAGCTGGGTCCCAAGACGATCCCGACGAATTTGTATCAGCGACGCTCTGACCTCGAGTGCTGGTCGCTAGGCCAACAGAAGGCCCGAGACGTTCGGGGCCCGCGTCGGCCCCATTGCCGTGGGGATGAGCGGGGCCGTCCGAAGAGGAAATCTAGAACAAGCCGTCGGGGGCGTACAATTCTGAATCGCCGTCCCCGTCCAGAGCAACACTTGACTCGCAGGCAGAGGCAGAGACAATTGTGACTGGTGCCTCCCCAGGGCGCTCGTGGCCCACGCCCGCGGCACTTCCTTGGCTCGGCTCACGCGTCGAAGTAGCCAGGTCGCCGAACATGTCCTCGACTGCCTCCTGCTGCTTGATGCGCGCTGCCAATCTCGCCACAGCCCGCTCTGCCTTGGCTCTGCTGGATTTGGATCCTGGCACAGGTTGAGTTTGCGGCCTCGGAGCCTGAGGAAGACGAGCGGCAACGACAAGTTCTCTGCAGAGGAGTTGGCACCCTGAGCTGCGTAGACGAACCTGCACCCCGCAATGTGGTCTCCAGGGAACCGCCAATACAGCCGTCACCTCCACGATGTAGGGGACGCAGGAGTGGCTCGCCATGAGGTAGTCTAGCATGCCCCCCTTGCCTGGAATACATGCATGCTCCACCCCTGGAGTGAAAATGACGGCGCCGACCTTTTCCACGAAACCGCGGTCGACCAACACACTCGGGTCTAGGTTGGAGTCGCCCACCACGAACCACGGTAAACGTAGCTGCGTGACGAGGACCCCCAACTTGGCGAACCTGAGGAGATTCTTGCCAGTGAGGCCCTCGGAGCTGAA